CCGGTGGTCCGTGATAACTTTCTGCTGGTACACAGGAAAAATGCGACATTATTTATATTTTTATGAAGATTGTTTAAAAAATGACGATTTACAAAATCTATTATTGAATATGGATTGTACTTTCTTTAGCTACTACTTTTAGCGAAATTCCTTCTGAATTTAGCGACTTTTTAGCTTTTTTGCAGGTGTATCTAGCGACATTTGAAAGTGAGAGTTGGCATCCATGGATATGCAGTTGTTATCTATATTGGCGCGAATTGGAATTCTCTTTCCTTTTGAATTATAAACATATGCTAGTGTCGTCGTTAATAACATAGTTTTTCTTCGTGCCAATTTGATGGACTTTTTATGAGAACCATCTGCATTCTTGTTTATAATTCCATCACTGAAAGTTTCCATTTTTGTTTCGTTTAACTGTTGATGGATGGCGCCATTACTGCGTAAGCGATGATTGTTATTGTTTACAATAATTAAAAATTGACGGCATAACACTATTTATTAATATTGCTTTGCGTTTGCCGATTTGTTCTTGCTTTTCGTGCAGTTCCTTTACAGTGATATGGAAATGTGAACCTTTCTGTACTAAGATTTTTATAGTTTTCATGTAATTTTTCAATGTGAACGAAATTTGTGTAGTTTGCCGATTGTTATTGTATAAAAGTTATTACCTTTTTTTAATTCATATTAGTGGTCCGCCAAATATAAAATTATATATGTAGTGGTCCGATAAGTTCTAAGGGTTGACGACCGCTGCTCTTGCACACAATCCACGGTACAGTACTGGTATTGATTTGTGAATTTTAGCTCTAAGTTGCGAGCACTAACGAATCTCCTAAATTTGATAGATCGGCTGAATCTGAATTTGCGAAAAGATCTAAAACCCAATTCGGTATATTTATTATTAAAATATCAACCAGCATGAAGAACGTTCGAGTCGTGGCAGTAAGTAAATCTTCCTGATTTGCAGCTGATTATGTGAGAAAAAGTGGCTATCTTCACCTCTACCTACATTTTATGTAAACAGTTTTCCCACAGCAGCAGCAATGTTTTTTGTTTTAATCAAATCCATCTATCACCCTACAATTGTAAACTGACTTCATTGAATACTTTAAACAGGTTTATTAAATAAGCGAAATCAGGTTTTGACCAAGATTTTCATCTCCGCTTTCAAGACCAAAGAAAACCATTCAGACAAATACTTCGTGACAGCCAATGAATGTACTTCTGTGTGCAAAAGCAAGCGATTGGAATCACCATTTTCACTACAAAGTTGGCCTTTCGATCTTACTGACTGCTCTAACGACGCTTTGACGCAACGTATACAGGCGGGCATTCAAATTTTCTGCAACTAAATGCTACCGATGAATACCACAACAGGCTGCGAATGATTTGGTACTGCTTGTTTCAAATAACGATACGAAACTTTTATCCAGTCATTTCTGGAGCACTAACAGCAGCAGCAGCTCGCAAAAAATGATATATGATATGATAAAATGCTTAGTCTTTAAAAACTTTCACCTATTTTTCTTTGCACCGAATAATTATCCAGTGGAATTTTTTATGTTATCTGAAGGTTTCTGTTTTAATTACTTCTTATGTTTCTTATTATTATAGTTAGTTGTTTTAAATATTTTTTCTAGCCCTTGAAAATGGGATAAACCTTCGCCATGTCTTTTATATAAAATATTCTTGCAGCTAAGACGGCTTCATTTGAAAAAAAAACTTTTGGCAAATTAAATAAATAGGTAATGATTGGTTTATAGGAGAATGTGCGTGCGTAAATCAATATTCCAAGTCAGATATATACAAATAGGTAATGATTGGTTTATAGGAGAGTGTGCGTGCGTAAATCAATATTCCAAGTTGTGTACTGCCGGCATTTCTTCTTAGATTCAGATATTTTGAAAAACAAGATTGACACGGTTTACATAACTTGACTTTAATTACAACAGAATTACAAATAAGTATAAAAAATAATGACTATAATGGCTTCTATTAGTTTCATTCACGAATATGGCGAAGCACACAAAAATAATAAGACAATCCTAGAGCTCTCCCGGCCTTTTATATATCAAATTTCGTGAACGCATCAATTTGTAGTTTGTATGCCTTTGCCTTTCACGTGCGATGCCGATGCACTACACAAACTCCCATATTTTTGTCTAAACAAGCCTGATTTTATGAATCGCGTCCTGGTTTAAATTTGCAGAGACTTGGCACCGACAATATTAAATCGAATGTATGCACATACTTAAAGCTCAATTACATATTTTAATGCTGATTAACGCGGTAATGATAACAATTTTCAACAGCTTGACAAAGCATTTATTCAACGAAAATTCAACATTTTATTAATTTCCTTAAATCTGTAGCTATGCCACGGCCGTCCCTTTTGACTTATCTTACAGTCTAAAGCTCTCCGGACCCACTACCACCCTCATGAAAGGCTCCTCCTGAGTAATGATACCGTCCCTGCTGGGAACCTATGACTTGACTAAAATGCCTAAATAACCTGAAATCTTGGGCGGTGATCTGAGAAAGAGTTCACTATACTTGATTTGCCGAAATTCTTCGAAATACGATCAAACCATATAAAAGCTGAAAATTTAGAAAATCTTTCTCAGTTAATATTAATTTTATGGACAAACAAACTTCCGGATTCCTCTGCTTTGCTTTCAAAACGGAAAACGGAAAAAGGAACACGAATGGCGAAGGAACTATACTATTAATGAGATAATTTCTATGTATGACTACATGAATATGCGTAACTTTTTCTCTTCGAATGTAAAAAATATGATTTCAAGTTGCTTATATCAGCATTACAATGCTAATGCATAATTCCTGTTTCCATGGGTAACTAAAAATGTTTTCCATTTTATTCCAGTTTTCAGCCTTTTAAGTCTAGAATTATTTTTTACAAAATTTCATTTCCTTTAACACCACTTCTTTTTTCCTCCCACTCCCTTTCTTTCCTTTCACAGATAAACGAGAAACGAAAGAGTTCTAAAATTCTAATGTATTAAACCCTAAATTCGTTCGGCAGTTTTTTCAAAGCACTAGCGGGAAAAAAACGATCAAATGCATGTAGAAAAGAAATGAACAAATATTACACTTTTAATACAAGCCTTTTTTTTTTTTTTTTTTTTTTTTATAATCACTAATTCTAAAATAAGTTTTCTGAGGTATCGACCTTACCTGTAATAAGAATAAAACTACACACGGGTAAAAAGAAAACGTTGAAACAAGTATGCTCCCAGTAATTACGATTTTTTTATGCAGAGATCAGGATAACATCATTAGTTTATTAAGAGGTATGATAAAAACCAAAATAACTGGCTGACAAACTTCAGATGTATCTATCTACATTTACACACCTCTTCGTAAATAAATATCACTCAAAATTTTACGATTATGTTAACTGCACTTTTGTTTAGAACACACTAAATTAACATAAATTAAGGGAAAAAATTACCATCCATTATTTTTGTGAAGACTGCTCAACAAAATTCTCTTAGAATAAATATAGAATTATTTAATTGTCATTAATAAGGTGGAAAGAAAGCATCGATATTTTTTGATTCTGTCTATACTAGTTATTTTTATTTAACATCAATATGAAAACATGGACCTTATAAGAGATAATTCTTATATGGTCTATGTATGAAAACTACAGTCAGTCATTTTCCGAATGGGCTGGATCAACACCTTTTTGAAGCTACGCATTGCAAGATGTTAGTGAATATAAATTATAATATCGTTTTCTTTTTATATTTTTAAACGATACAAATTAAGCTAACTAAAGCATACATACTAAAGCACATAAAAAACTCAGTTTGCAAATTTGGTTCAAGCTATTTTAACTCCATAAAAGGATGAATAATAATATCAGCAATAACAATGGCCAGCGTTTAAAAAAAAGGCACGTACTCAACTTGTAACGTAAATGCTGACCTTGACTTCAGAAGTGCAGTTACGGTTAGAGTACCGACAGTAAATATCTTTAGGCAGATGAAATAATCAAAAATTTTTCCTCCATTCTGCAGTTTAATCTTCAAATTCTGCAAGCCTCAGATTTACACGAAACAAACAAACAAAAAATTTACACGCCTCAAATACACCAAACAGAATTTTTAATGCATGTTCTGAGACCCATCAACTTGTTCCTCCTCAGTATTCTATTAAAGGAATATTCATTTAAAATATCAACAACTTTTAACTGGGTAAATTTTCAGTAAGTTTAATTCTTATCTTTACAAGGTTCAAGTAGATACTACAGCCACATTTAGTATACCAAAGGCCTGTCATTAATGAAATATTTTACAAAGAGTACGATCTTCTGGCCTAAAATTAATTTACTACCAAGTCAACTGAACATTTCAGATTTATTCCGCATACTTTAAGTATGAAAATTTATTCTGAAAATTACGCATGCAATGTAACTGAAAATTGGAACAAGCAATTCTTTACATGAAAGATTGCCTGTGATATAAATAAAACGTCGTAAGACTAATTTAACAAAATCATGGCCCTCAATTAATTTTACCAGCTCTTTTAAGGTTTAGGTTATTTGAATATAGCAATAAATATATGACTTATCTGTCTTCATGAAGACCTCATTCAACTTTCTAATGTATGATGAAATTTAACTCCACAAAAGAAATTTAACTAGCTACTTCTTGTTCAGTGTTGGATAAACTAGATTGAAATCTTCGGATCTGCTATTATTAACTGCATACCTGTACTATTTAACCATAGCACAACCGGAATCTTCATCTGAACAGAAGGACTTCGTTTGTGCTGCATACAAAATCTAGTCAATGATTTTTTTTCATTATTATTCACATTTTAAGTAGCCTGCGTAATTTTGCAATAATACGCAGCAAAAGATATTAAACTACTTAAAGCTATGTGACATTATAGAAAATTTATAAAAGCTGAATATCTCCGCTAACTTTATCAAAAAAATATATATATATCTGAATAAATAACGCTTAACTTACCTGAGAACGATCTATGCACATCAGGGTCATGCTGATGTTCTATCCGTAAAGAGAATTATAACGTAAAAGCACACAGGATCACAGAAATCACACCCACTTGTTGATCAACAACCGGCAGGTCGCAATCGTTCTTCTATATCTGATAGAATAAGCATCTAATAGGACTTTTTTAAATCTGCGTTTTGTTTAAAGCAGAGAATATTATCTAGAAAACATAACAATTAATTATACAAGGAAAGAGATCAGTACAGTGGCCATAGTTTAGATTCTGTTTCGTTTTTCGCCGCAAGTCGCTTCACAACACTGCTCAGCTCTCAACCGATGCAGAGTGCGAACCGTTAGGCCACTGGGACCAACTTTTCAAGCTTCTGTAGAATGCGATAGCTAGTCAAACGTCATCAGCTGTAGGCGGGGATTCACTCCAGCTGTGCAATCAGCGCTCAGCATCGGTACGCTTTCGAGACAGCACGTGAGTAACTATTTTCTTCCGCTGGAGAAGAGAGGAAAAGTACTACTACGGTCCCTGGTGAGCGTTCATCGGTGTGAGATTATTTGTGTTTTGATGGAAGTCTTTTTTTTTTTTTTTTTTTTTTTTTTTTTTTTTTCGGATCTTTGAAAAGTCGCGAGCTGCCCAACCTCAAAATTTGAATTTTAGTAGTGAATTCTTCAGTAGGTTTTAAAAAGCGCACTTTATGTTTTCATTTTTTTTAATACTGGATGCTTTTAGCATATTTTTTTTATTGTTTTTAAAACTGTTCGTTATTTTTCTCGCTGATCTGTAAAAATTGTTCTACCTATAACTTATTCAATTAAAAAAAGATAAAAAATTGTTTCTTCTAATTCTACTAAAATATAACATTTTGTTTTTGATGAAAATGCAATATTAAACAAGTTCAGTAAATTAAAAATATGACATTTCTTTATTCGAAATAAATAAAGATAAGTCCTGGAATAAGACCAAAATTTAAGAAAACTAATATCTTTCTATTGCTAGTTAAGGAAATCTGGAGAACGAATATTTTGAACGTTTGAATATAGCGGGCTATAACAACTTATGAATTTCCATGTTTTTTAGACGACATCGATTTTAATATTTCAATATCACCAATAAGGAAGTGGAATTCGATTTAAAAAAAGTTAAAGAAAAGCAAAGAATTTTGAGGCTAATTACGTAATGCATAACGTCAGACAGTTTTATTAATTGCTATGAAACTGAAAATGTTCATAATTACTACCTAGCTATATTACAAATAACTGAAAAGCTTTTTTTTTTTAAATTGCTCCATTTGCATATATATTAATTAGAAAAAATAAAAATTTAAGTTATTAGGATGTGCGAGTTTTTGACTTTGAATTAACAGTTTATGAAACAACTATAGTTCGAAATATAAATTTATAGTCCCATGTCTCAACGAATGACCGCATTCTCGAAATTTTTTATTCACGACAGAGAAATTAAAGATCGTACGTCTGGTTCAAAGACAATACTTGACAGGCCGTATGGGTGACAAATGATATTAATGAAATTCTCTTGAGGAAACACTTAAATTCATTTAATAAATAATTTTTATAATAGTACAGCTAAATTACCGATAATAATAGTTTTAATTTATCAGTATATATATTGTTCTTTATTTCGTGTTTGAATTGGCGTGAGAATCTGAACTACCTGAGTCTTTGGTACCTACACTTTAATCAATATCAGCGCTTAATTTAAATCCAGAATAAGATTCATTAAGCTATATCGCATAATTCAATATTTTCCAAACATTTTGCCCACCTGACTCACCTACTTAAAACTATAGTTTATCTCAATCCACTTGCGCATACAATGAATCATTTATATGAGGATTGCACGACCACGGAAGGCTCCCATTGATTTTGGTCTTCTTTGCAGATGATCGTCTTAAAAGAGGTGATGTTCAATATGATTGTAGTAATTGATGATTCATTGCAGTTGTTTTAAAGAAAAGAACAGGAAAAAACAGAAGCGAGGAAAAAAGAAAAAAAGAATTATCAGAGAAAGTAATGTAGTAATAAATAACAAGTAATTCAGTATGTATTATTAGTTAACGAATAATTTTAAACAGATAATTTAAACTTATATTTAGAACATACTGCAATAAATAAAATTTCAGCTTTTTTTATTGCGATTAAAAAAAAAATCGTTTCGCCACTCCGCACTTGATCGTAACGCACACTTTGTGAATGACTGCAATGTATCGTCTTTTAAGAGTATTACTTATTCTACGCATTTTAAAGGAATAAAACATACAAAAACAAATTGGTAAAAACAAATGCTAAGGTCGGGAAAATTCGAAGAAAACTACAATTCTATGAGACTTTATCTGTTCGAAGATGCGCCCTATTTTTAGGGGCGCTTATAAGGGAAAAAGTGTGTTTCTAAGAATTGAAGAAATGCCCTAGAACTCTTGCTCTAGAAGGCTTGCATAACTATTTAATCTTTCGGTTCTTTTCTTAAAAAGTGTCATGTGTGTCACGTGATCGAATATGTCATAGCACGAAAGTCTTATTCACTTGTCAAATTAGAACTAAGGTTGTAAGAGCCCTCGTTCTAAAGATATTATCCAGTCTATTTGACATACAGAGCATTAGGACTCAGAATTAAAGTATTGAAGCAGCAGATACATAATGCATCTCGCAGACAATCCTCAGTGGAAGTTTAATTAATTAGTTTTTCCAGCTTCAGTTATACTTTTCTATTAAATGAATCCTTTCTGGCCCATATCACACACGCATTTGTTTCACAAGAACAACTGTTTCGGACAATTTTTCTGCCTGGTTTATTACTGAAAGAAAGACGAGCGATTTTTTCCTTCCTTTCGATTTTTGTTTATTAGATTACGGCAAAGCACTCGAGGGCTATCTGCCTTATGGAAAGGATGCCTTCGCGGAGGACTTTTTAAGGGAAACTGGCTCGTATGCACGTTACACATGGAGAAAACCACGAAAACACCCATGCAGCCAGCCCGTTCGCGAGATTCGAACCGCAGACCGAATTACCAGTGTTCAGCTACGTTAACGCTCGGCCGCTGGTGGGCCCTTCCTTTCGAAAAAAAAAAATAAATAAATAAATAAAATAAAATTGCAAGTTGTTCGTTTTCAACCAGTCAGCTATCAGCTTCGAATGTTATCAGCTTGTTTGTAATGGAGAACCAATTTCCCCTGTGTTAACCCCAAAGCGATCTGTGGTGACTGGCTGTTGTAACAAAGCAGAAGTTCCAAACTGTTGTTCTTCCGAAACATACGGATGTGTGATAGCAGCCGAAGACGAACATCCACGGTTTCGTCTGATTTTGTCTTCTGTGGAGATGGTTGCCTTAGAGAGGGAATGTTAAAATCCGATGTTTATTTATGTCTGAAAAATATTCCTCACTTTCAGAGGTGATCGTCTTAGGAAGGTGGTATCCACGGGAAGTTTTTCTATATTTGAATTTCCATGCTAGCAAACCTAAAAATTGGAGAATATTGCAAAAAAGAGAAGCAACCAATATACGCAAAATCTTTCAAAATTCAAAATCGTCCTTTTCCAAACCTAAGTGTTAGGTTTGAATCCCAGCTCACATAAGCTCGGATTCATTGTTTACTATGACTAAGCAAAATAAAAAATAAAAAAAGAAATAAAAGAAATTCTTAGGAAACACTTTTTTTTATTAATTCAAAATAGAATTCTCGTGAGTTCTGCGAAATCTAAATGATTAAAAAAGAAAAAAAAAAAAAAAAAATTAAACCAATCGATTCGTATTTAGAACACAGTAGCTGCATGCAACAGAGTGTTTATGAACAGGAAGTGAAGCGCTTGTTGCCATGAGAATTTATTTCTTATGTATTTCAACAGTTTTTTAATACTACGAGTCATGCAGTTATGCTATTAAAAATAATGTTAATTAAAATATTTAAATGCTCAAACGAATAAATTGTTTGTCTTCATAAACGGAAAACTTATGGCAGCATAGTTACAGCAGCCTGTTTGTTCAATCGATTATGGCAAAACACGCGAGCGTCATGAACCTAAAACAGTGTATTTTTGGTAGATGTTAAAAAGTCAAGCTGTTTTTAAGGGATTGAAGGAACTTTTACTTTGGGAAGTGGAAGAAATAAATTTCTTCAGATCACTTCAAAGTATGATTTGAAATAATTAAACAACAACAACAACAAAAAAAAAAAAAAAAAAAAAAAATCTGAAAGCTTTCAGATTTTACATTACGCTCAAAGGGTCTTTTTTTTAAAAAACATTTTGTGGGTTACTTTTATTTATTAAATATCATGTTCTTCGTAATTAAATCATAAAATTCACTTCAACAGCAATATCGCAAAATAATTTTAAAATGAGCATATCTTTATTTCCGATACACAATGGATACACCTTGGAAATAATTTTTTTTTGGGGGGGGGTACAGTGTTGCCATTGCTCGCTTTGAAACCGTTGAGTTTGTTAATCAAAAATTCGTTAAAGTTTTACAAAATATGAAATCGATAATAAAACAAATTCCAAATTCAAATACCGATATTCGATGCATGTATATATATTATGTTATTCAAAATTTTCAACCAATTGATTGGATGGCTCTAGGTACCGTTGTTTTATCACAATGCGAGAAACATACATGCATTTATGCAGATTCTTCATTATTTAATTTCTTTAATTTTATATACAGGGCTGTAATATCCGGTGGCAACAATTTGAAAAGAGAAGCGACAAGTTTCCAATGCGAAATGCCAAAACGAAATTAATAACCCTTCTGGGCTGACGCCCTTTGGCTAAAAATGTAAAATTCTAGCAAGGAGCGTGCAATTTTAATCTCCTCCTTCAAAGTTTATCTTAACACCGGAAAAATCTGATGTAAAATCGATGGTATTTCTATCTAGAAAAAGAATTTGAAACCAGTTCAATCTACAACACTACGTTATTTACCACAAATTCAGGATTTCGGAATGATGCACATTTGTCTTACTGGTACCATTTGCATAATTAATAAAAGTTTTTCTGCCTCTATGTGCTATTACATATCTCTGCCAAAGAATTTTTCTACATATATTACACAAAAATACAGTATGTGCCTTCTCCTGAATATTTCGTATCTATACAAGTAAACATTCTTTAAGCATATTACTCATAGTTCTAAGTGATTTTAGTTTCCTGTTGTCGTTTCGGAGAAGGAATACCTAATACCTAATGCAAATGTTTATGCGTTTTGTTGTAACTTTTCTCACTTGCCTGACAGTGACTTCAGAACAAGCCCACAAAATTCATCCTGGCAAAGAGAGCAAGATTGAGCCTCTTGTTAGCAAAGCCTTGAGCACCACAGATGTAACAGTACGACTTCGCTCAT